CTGAACCAGCACAGCAGGACCTTTCTGCTACCAATTTAGCACTAAGCTGAGTGAGAGAAAGAAGAGAGTACAATAACAATGTGGTTTTACCATATTTCTTTTGTAATCACTGCCATCTTCTTTGCTCTGTCTTTTCTTCTTTGCTTCCATGTCCCATTCCATATACTTTACAATTGCAACTTTTGTCCCCCTCAGTTTATTTTCATTTGCTCTGCTTCTTTTGTTCCCTCAAAACTTTTTCTGTTTTTCCTTCTTCTATTCCCGTTAATTATTTAAATTTCCTTTATTTTTTCTCCTCTTCTCCCCTTCTCAACATGTTATATTATGTCCTCCCCAGGCCTGTGACCTTCCAGAGACAGCCGTATTCAGCCTGGCTCCCTCTGGAGAGTCATCCCTGGCCACGCCGTGCTCAGTGCCATGCTGGGACATCCTCCAGGGAAAGGTGGAATTCCCTCTGCCTCTCAGACACATGCTCTTCAGCTTGTTTCCCAGGCCTGGTGCCGCAGTTGGATCTACAGCATGGAGCCTCCCTGCTCCCATCCGACCAGACCTCCCCAGGCAGAGTTTGTCTGTTCCTGGGGAACCAGACTCGGGCGGTGGCCTGAGCAGCAAGTGGGTGAAGCGGAGCATTTGTGGTTTGCTGGCTGTGACAGTCCATTTAGAGCAGGGTACTGAACCTCAACTGGCATAAAACATCAGACAGGGAGGCAGTGTAGCTTGTCACAGCTTGTTAAACACTGGTAATGAAGCAAAAGGAGAAATGCCCTCAGCGTTTCCACTGCCCAGCTCTCCAATTTTTTCATGTCTTTCTTTTTACTTTACTTTTCTGTCTCTTTATTCTTTGGATCTCTTGGTAGCCTGAGTTGACATCTGTTTGGATGGGTGTTTGTAACTGAGAACACAGTGATAAATATTCACAGACACACTTTTCTGTGCCCTGCTTGGCTTCAGCATTTACTGTGTGACTGTGTACTAATGTATGTGCAGCCAGACACTGATATAAAAAGAAACATGACAATGGACACAAACACATGGTGTGTCACTGCCTGGCTGCAGTTTGGGCTCTGTCCATGGATGCACCTCAGAGACTTGCACATGGGCATAGCGATACTGTGACGTTTGACACGTCACTGGGTGTGTGCACTCTTCTCTGTGTGTTAGAAGGGGTTGGGATATGAGCTGTCTGTGGAAATTTTATTAATGGGTTTGTATATTTGTGTTGTAACCCACAGAGCCATAGTACTGACATACCAGGAGCACCTTGGGGTGACGTACATCAGTCTGAATGAGGACCCCTGCCCTCGCATGGTGATCCACAACAAGTGCCCTATCCCACTGCTGCTGAAGGAAGATGTCAAAGGTAAGTCTGAGTGGACACCTCCAGTCCTTTTCCCAGATCTGCCCTGGCCTTTCTGTTCCATTTGCTCTGACCACAAGCCATTTAGTTGAACTGTTTTTCCACTTATCTGTCATAGAAACTCCAAGGACTGAGGTATACTGCCGTCCTCTGCCTGCTAACTGCTGTCTGCACCATGAGCTCTACTACCACTTTTCCAGTTTCCCCGAGTGCAGGCAGAAAGAGGTGCTGCCCACATTGCTGCTGAAAACCACCTCAGACCACAGCACTGCAGACTGGACCGACCCCATAGATATCAACTGCCCCGGCACTCAGGTAAAAACATGTATGTAGGTAGGATAAGGTGAAAAGATGTCAGGCGTTTATCTCAAATGTGAGGGCGTTTCATTTCCCTTAATGCTAAATGTACAGTGTTTCCTTTTTGATAACTATATGTTTTAATGACAGAATGAATGTAACACTTCCATCATCCCTCTTTTAAAAAATGAATTCATCTCATCTGCACTTGTTATTTAAACACACAGATTCCCCTCGGGTGCTTCTTACTTTCTTAATTACAACTGATACACATTCAGCTCTTCACAGAACAGTCTCTGTAACGTCTACAGTAGGTCGAGCCGCAGCCCATTTTGAGTTACATCAAAGCACAATGGCTTTTCAGTTGTTTTAAGTAATAGCAGCCAGTCACATTATGACTGGCAGTAATCCTCTTGAACCCTGATGTTCTCTTACAAGTTTCACAATACTTACTTTATATTAGAAAAAAGTGTTCCACTATGAATGACAGTGAACTCGTTTTTGTATGGCTGTACCACCACAAAGAAAAATAACATTCTGTGGGTTTGTAGAAGGCTTGTTCACACAGTTTTAGTTCAGCAGCTGTGTGCGTGGGCATGTTTTTCTGTGGTAGTGTGGACAAATTGTAGCTGGATACCATCGTTGTGCGGCTGTTTGAGGGTTAAGACTTGGCTTTAAAGTGAGAATTAGGCTTTAGTCAGGGTAGGGTTAGGGTTAGACATCTAGTTGTGTTGTCAATGTTAAGTTCAGGGGTGAGGGAATGTATTGTGTCACTAAGTGTTCTTACAACTAGTGTGTGTGTGTGTGTACTGGGGTTGACTAGCAAAGTAGCCTAAGTATTTTAGTTGTGGTCAGTGTAGTGTGGGGTTAGCAGGATGTTAAGAAGCTGTGTGTTGTGTCTAGCAAGCTGCAGGTTGGGGCTGAGGTTGAAACTGTGTATCTCAGGTTACTGTGAAGTCTGAGTCTGACCTCTGTCGTAGGGGTCAAAGGTCAGACTTGTTATGACTGCTCAGTAAAGTGTTCGGTAGGGATCTGCTTCCTGTCCTCACACGAGGGACTGATCAGTCTGAACATGGAGTGGTTAAAGTCAGACTCATGTATGCTCTGAAACACAAACATACACATACAAAGAACAATGTAAAGACCACTGAGCTGTGAATCTGTGAACAGGGCGACTTAACTCCTCAAGGGTTAATCAAGATAACATGTGCAACACTCTCTCTATCCATTGCTATTTGAAAGTGTCTTAACCCAACCCACCACAGATGCGTGTCTGGTTGTTGTTCAGGTGGTGTTCCTGCCAGGCTTTGGCTGTCTCTACATTGATGTGGTGTATGAGAGAGGCACCTTGGTTCTGTCTCTGGCACCAGAGGGCAGTGTGGATACTGTGATCAACCAGCAAAGCAGGTATGTGTGCACAGGTGCAGCTTTTATTGTTGTTGTTTGATGCTCCTATATATTTGAAGCATAAGAAATCATCCATGCATGTTGTTCATAACCTGAAGACATCTACCAGTGTGCCTTGTTATTGTCTTCACTTCAGATTCACTTCATGAATATTGTTAACAGCAGTGTTTTCATGCAGCAGCTGTTACTAGACACCAGACATGAAGACTCGAGCACTGTTTTCACCACCGGAGGGCAATAAAACCCTGTGTTGTGATAGGTGGCGCAGTAGAACATGGTATTGCAGCTTTATTCCATTACATCAACACATAACAGGAAATTAATATAATCGCGTATGAGGTAAATGTAAACAAATGACATCGCACAGTGATCTTAGTTAATGCGCTCTGCTGGTAGGAAATTAGTGAAACATCATCAGTACAAGGTGAAGGGGTTTAGCCTTTTATTATGCTCTACAGTTGATCAGGATCAACACACGTGCACAGCTGAAATCCTAGTTACGTTTGAGATGGAAATGTGAGGGTTTTACTTTGAACGAGGACAAACTTATGACATCCTTACCTACTGCTGCACTTTCATGGGTGGAGACCACAGTGTTTGCATAGTTTTTTAAATAATTCTACAGTATCGTACTCTGCTTGCGTGGGTGGAGACCACAGTGTTTACATAGTTATTTTAATAATTCTACAGTATCGTACTCTGCTTGCACATTAGTCATTTCAGTTTTGTTTGCAGGTCCCCCAAGCTGTCCTTCAGAGTCCTCCTGAGGGAGGCCAGTGTGGCATTAAGGGATGACATCACCAGTCCCTCTGGTTCTATGGAGCTGCTAAGACTCACACTGACCAAGCTGCTCCTCAGCCTGGCTCCGGCACCTACTTCCTTACCCCTGGAGCTGGCAGTTGATCCTAGCATGGATGCGGCGCCCATCTCAGCTCTGATGGGTGAGGCCTCTCTGATCGAGGTCTGCTGCTCCAGTCTGCAAGTAGACAACCAGCTGTATAACCAAGCAAGTTTCCACTTTCCCGTGCTGCTGTGCCAGGATCAGAGAGGGGGAGCTGACGCCGGGGGTCCGTGGAGCACTGATGCCAACCCCACCCAGTCTCCTGAAGCTCTGGAGGAATTCAAATCCTCTTGTTTCCTGCAGTTGAGGATGACAGTGGCTGGAGACAAACACACTGTGGAAGAGGTTGGATTCATTTGTCTGTCTTTGTACCGTGTTTGTATTTTCTTTGTTGTAGTAGAATTGCTTAGTTTTTTATATTTACGAGTATAATGAGCTCACTTCTGCCTTTGTACATCCTGCAGTCACATAGTACACCATTATGTACCCAGAGTATCTGGCCCCTAGTAAACACACAGCCTCACAAGTCACTCAGCAACATGACACCATAAACTTGTAAATAATAATCTAACAGTGTGATAATTTAGCAGTAAATTGTTTTACAACTGCTTTTTTGCTAATTCCAAAAAAGAATGTATTCTTCTGACACTCATCCAGCAGTTCTCATTACAACTTTGTGCACGTTCTCTTTAGGTCATCTTCCAGCTTCAGCCTGCCAGAGTCTACCTTGAAGACACCTTTGTTTACTACATCAAGACCCTGTTCCACACCTACATCCCTGACAGCGCTATGGCGTCAGCTCCAGCAGAGACCCAGAGGAGCAGAGAGGCTGGACCAGCCCCCGTCGTCCCTGAGCAGGTGCACCCTTCATAACATAGTGTTTGTATTATGTACTAATGAGGCTGAATGGTTTACAGTTTAGTCATTTCATTCTCATTATGCAGAATGTATGGTAACAGCATCCAATGCCTAAAAACCATGTCTGTCCATTTTGATAAACAATAATCCACTGCTGTGTTTTATGCACTTATGTCATCGTCATCACATCATGTAATGTTAAAATAAAGCTGTTCAGGGCATGCTGATATATTTTGTTACATTTCTACATTTGAACATCGTTCTTGTGACTAGTATTGTGATATTAATGTCATCCAGGTGCTGCAGGCAGTGCAGGCATTGGTCCACCCTGTGTGGCTGCAGCAGCTGAACATCCAGCCAGTTAACCTGCTGGTCAGCATCCACGCCTCCCTGAAGCTGTACATCGCGTCAGATCATACTCCTCTCTCCTTCTCCCTGTTTGAGAGAGGGCCACTGTTCACCACAGCCAGACAGCTGATCCACGCTCTGGCCATGCACTATGCTGCTGGGGCCCTCTTCAGAGCTGGTAGGCAGCCAGCTGATGTTTCATATAATGTACATTATTGTCAGTAGACTGATTGTGCTGCATACACTACACTTTACTTACAGAAGAATAACAGGGTTTGTGCTTGAGTGAAAAAAATCCCCCAATTTATTCCCGCTGTGTCTGGGTTGAGCTTTTGAAATGATTGGTCCCAGAGAGTCCTGCTGCTTTGTAGCAGGAAGTGCAGTAAAAATATCAAGCTTCCGGAGCACAAAGCCTGAATCACTGGAAGCCCTAAGGAGGATTTAGATTCCCTTATTGTCATACAGTAATTTGCTGTTTTATCATAAGGTCTGACAGGTGACTCATGCATCGCACTGTGTGTACAGGCAGTTTGTTATGTTGAACTGTGAGTTATCAGGCCCTGTAAAGGCTCCATACCTCTCTGCTGCACTGTCCTCTGTCTGGTCAAAGCTTCCACACATGGTCTGCTTTAACCCAGTCATTTCCACATCAGAAATCACTGTTCTGGCCAGACACTTCCTTCCCACTGTCTCTCGTTAGAGCCCTATTTCAGCTTGTATTTCACCACGTCACCTCACCACGTTCTTCTCTCCCTGCATCGTCCTGCAGAGAGGGAGTCAGACTGGGACTGATTAGCTGTAGGATGTACAGTACGACAATCACACATATACCCACAGGCGTAAATCCATGGCCTACACATGCAAAGATTTACAGATGTATAAAAGGCATATGGTATCTGTGCTTACGCTTTGGTATATGCGTGTGTTTAAAAGCACGGCACAGCCCTGTAAGCATCGGCTCCTGTCAGGATTGTGCGCTTTACCAAAAACACAACTGGAAGAACATGGAAAGCACAAACACCCACTGGACACTACTGGAATTGGTTTCCTACCATTGGAGTCCATTGCTCAAGTCCAAATTGATGGAGAATAAGAGCAGAGTAGGGACTGGTGTCCTGGGAAATGGCTATTTGATGTTTGTGATGCAATTGTCAGCACATAAATATCAATGAGCTGTGATATCTGAAGGGGACTGAGTGAGAGAGGTGAGACAGTAGGAAGCTGTCAATCCAGCTGTGCCCCCGTGCATCTCTTTATGAATATTTGTACTGTACTTTGTATAGTGTTAACTGTGACATAAGTCATCTTGTCTGTTATTCTGTAGGTAGTTTTGACTGGAAGAGCCTTTCACTCTAACGTGCTTTTAGTCCTGTGGATACTGCCAGCTCAGTGTACTGTATGTGCCATGCAGTGTTTTAGGACATCTTTTTGTTTTGTTTGTTTCCAGTCCAAGTTTTTTTTATGAAGCTAATCTGAAGGAGAACAGAAGTTAGCGACTGTAGGCTAAAATGTCCTGTAGCACTGAGAAATTTAATACACTCAGAAATGAAAAGTAACAGAATGATTTCTGACTTTACTGATGAATAAGCATCAGACAAATCTCCCAGCATTAGATTGATTACACATTATAATATGTTGTAACATATAAACATAGTTGACCTCATGAATGAGCACACTGGCTGCAGTCATATTGTTACATCCTGGGTTGTGCTTGTGTCTCAGGATGGGTGGTGGGGTCTTTGGAGATCCTTGGCAGTCCTGCCAGCCTGGTGCGGAGCATCGGTAATGGCGTGTCTGAATTCTTCCGATATGAGGGTCTGACCCGGGGACCCGGAGCCTTCGTCAGTGGGGTGTCCAGAGGGACCACCTCCTTTGTCAGACACATCTCAAAAGGTAACGCCAGTGTTCACTCTCTGCTTTATGTATTTATTGCACTTCTGTAATAAAATATTAACAGCTTTCTATTAAATTTTGTCCCAGACTTTAAAAGCGCATACAGTGATGACATACATTTTGAGATATGTGATGAAGATGAATGAACTTAAATGAAAATAAAGTTTTGCACAGTTTCCTTCTTTAATCCCTGATTGTTTCGGAAATGAGAGGCACCATAATGACTTGGTACTTGTATTCAGGCACACTGACATCCATCACCAACTTAGCAACAAGCCTGGCCAGGAACATGGACCGCCTGTCTCTGGATGAGGAGCACTACACCAGGCAGGAGGAGTGGAGACGGCAGCTACCAGAGAGCCTCGGGGACGGACTGAGGCAGGGGCTGTCACGACTCGGACTTAGCCTGTTAGGTATGTGGTGATGAAATCACTGTAGTGGCCGCCCCTCTAAATACCAGAATTTACAGTTTAACTGTCCCAGATCTAATATCCACATCTGAGCAGCGAGATGTTAGCCTGCCCTGTGTCCAGATGCCAGCCTCCCGTCTTAGCACAATTCTGTCAGAAAAGTTACTCTTTGTACACGTTACTAAAACAAGATGGCACATTTTTGGTCCACAAAGGATGTTTTCATTTCTGTGTGCATCTTGCATTTTGTAATTTTGGTATTATTTAGACTACTTCCTGTGTTTTGCAGGAGCAATAGCCGGCATCGTGGATCAGCCCATGCAGAACTTCCAAAGGCACTGGGACATGCAGAGCTCAGCCAGTAGCAAGGCCAAAGGGGTCATCTCTGGAGTGGGGAAAGGCATCGTGGGGGTTTTCACCAAGCCTATTGGAGGAGCAGCTGAACTGGTGTCACAGACTGGATACGGTGAGTTGAGGCTGGCTCAGTGATTACAGTGCTTTGTGCCTTTTCAGGGCACTTTCAGAAGCTGTGTTCCAGGGAAAATTGGAGCATAATTCTTGTTATGAGCGACACAAACATGACTCATTTTGGAGACTATCTATAGGACCATAGAAAGCAAATGCCTTTTTATTAAATAGCTTTATGTTATGTTCTTCAGGAGCTCCATCATTCTGTGGGGAAATATCTAGCATGGAATGCTGTACGTGTTGGAAGCTGTGTTGTTCATTTCACATTTACAAATGGAAGTAAACAAAGCCAGAAGAAAAGAACAAGCCAGATTTGACTATGCAGCATGGTCTCATATCGGTTCAACACAGCTCAACAAATAGGTCAATGCACAACTATGATGTGTCAGTGAAATTGTAAATGGATGGATGAGCCCTCCCTTTTCTTGTCTCAACCTCATACCTGTTTTTAGGTCAGGCTTGACAGCTACACACAGTACATACACATACTATATATTCCTAATCACACATGTACAAGCTTGAGTACATAAGTGTATAGACAGTTCTGGAGTTGTGGTTACTGGGGGCAGAAGATGGCTTGGGGAGTATGTCACAGGGCGATATGTGATGCTAACGGGTCTTTGGGCTGCAGCACATAAACCACCAATGAGGTGAACAGTGACGCCCCAAGGCTTGGCTCTGGTCTACCTGAGCCTCTGAGCTCACACCACAAACATCAATGTATGCATATAAATGCTACTTTACAGCGGTGGAAGGAGTATTCAACTTCTTTACTTAGGTAAAAGTAGAATTACTACAGAGTAAAATTACTCTGTTACAAGTCCTACATTCAAAATTTTACTTGAGTAAAAGTACTACGATACTTAAAGTACCACAAATTTTACTTGAATAAAAGTACTACGATACTTAAAGTACCAAAGGTTCAGTTCATATTAATGTATATCATATTATTGGATTATAGTGACTAATGCATTATTTAAAAGTAAAAGTAAAGCTGATAAAGGTGGAAGTACTTCTAATTTTAATTGCTGTTGGGTAGCTTGTGAGTTTCCCACTAAGGATCAATAAAATCTTATGATTAGTCATCTGAAGGTTATGAAATACATGTAGTGGAGCAAACACTACAATATTTGCTTGTAAAATGAAGCGGTCAAAGAAATAATTAGCAAAGAATACTCAAGTACAATTTTGAAGTATCTGTACGGTACTTGAGTAAATCTACTTAGTTACTTTCCACCTCTACTGCTTCAGCAGAAAAACACACTCAGCAGCACACACACATCATCAGTCACTCTGACATGCACACAAAAACTATCTGCTGGTGCTACAAGGAGTGGGCTGTATTGATTTGTGATGTAGCACAGCGTCCAGACACTTCTCTGTCAGAGCAGGGCCGCGCGGTCCCACTGCACTGACATCATCCATGGATCTCGCTTTGCTCTTTACGGCTCGGCTTTAACTACTTGATGACTTCACTGGCCTGGTGCTGCCGCCGCTGTGCTGACAGCTAATGTTGGATGAGAAAACACTGGCCACACACAGAGAGTTATGAACTCACACTGACACGCAGTCATCCAAAGCACGTTTTGTTTTTGACTAGTTTGAAACATATATTGTTAAACGCTAATATAAAGGTTCTTTTTCCATCATATCAATGTCAGCCTGCAGCAACTTGTGTGTTAGAATGGCACCAGTCGGCCGATTTGACGTTGTATTTAAACGCATCTACATGATCAACAGCACTGTCAAACACAGAATATACAACTGATAGTTACTCTGATACTGACTGTCCTTCTGTTGTCCCTCCGAACAGGAATCCTCCATGGTGCAGGACTGTGGCAGCTTCCCAGACAGCTCTACCTGCCTGCGGAGGAGAAGTCGACTCAAGCCCCAAACAGCCACCTTAAATATGTTTGGTATGACTCTGGAGCTAGTCTTTACATTCTTCCAGCTATTAGTTATAAATGCGTTCTCGCCTTTGCTTTTCTTGGACACTGTCCAGGAATTGGTGTCCACATCTCATCAGTTATGCTGTCTACCTTTAAAAAAAAATCCCTGGAGGGTTCATAACCCACTTTCTAACAAAAAAAAGGAGAAAGATGTTTGCATTGATTCAACACATGGTAGCCAGACCATCCTCCCATGTTAAAAGGTTTTCTCCAGCACTCTGCCAAAGCTGCTAGCTAGAAATGGTTCTTGTTATTTAACTGTGAGGCTGTCCAGAGCCGTTTCTCTGTGTCATCAGAAGAGGGAGAACACCTTTCTTTGTACACTGGTCTGGAGGCTGGGAGGGACTCAGTTTACAGGTTGTGTGTTGTGCCAAGCCGAAGGTTACCTTTGGGTCCTGAATTGTAAAACTCTGGCTTCCGCTGTATCCACAGCACAGCGTGATCGGCTCTGACTGTTGTAAAGATTCCAATATGGTCTTACAGTGGAACACTCGATGTTATCATAAAAATATAACAGCCCTGTGCTTCCAGAAGGTTATCACTTATGATGAATTTTCCAAAATTTTGTTTGGCTTCCAAAGCTATCAAACATTTCCTTCTAATAGCAATGAGTGCTGAATGTCAGCTGCCATGAGGAAGAAGGCCAGATTTTAAATGCAATATTTCTTTGGGTTATTCCACTTTAGTTGTCATCACTTGAGGAGTTAGTTGTATGTTGCGCTAATGTTAAAGCAAGATGAAGATAAAAAAAACATGACTGTTGAGATACCGGCCCCCTGTGGTTTAACTCGCACTGCGCTGCAGTCCAACTGGTTTCCATCAGGCGTCCTTCAATTGTTTTTACTACTACAGGTAGCCCAGATGCATGAGGGGTCAAGCTGTGTGAGTAGATTAACACTGCACAGAACCACTATCCCTACTGTGGCTGCTTCAACATCTGCTCTACAATGCACCTGCCTGTCACAGTAAACACACAGTCAGAGCAGCACGAATGAACCCTTCAGTTACTGCACACATACCTCCTTAATGAGCATGTGTAATAGGAACCTCAGAGAACACGAAGGAATGTGCATTACAGGATGGATAGAGGCGCATATGGTCATATGCGTGTGTATGTTGAAGTTGGTCTGGCACTTGGTGTGGTCTGGTATTTATAGGGAAAGTCTATATCTGAAGTTAGGAGGCCTGCCTATATGTGTGTATACTATCCATGCACACAGGGACCTTATTTTTATCATTCCATTATATGTCAAGTTAGAATTTTCCAAATGTGTCCCTTTAAATAGCATAATGTGTATGTCTCTCTCCCTGCTTTATGTCCTCTGACCACAGGAAGATGCTCCAGTCTTTGGGGCGCCCTGAGCTCCACATGGCCCTGGAGGTGACCATTGTGAGCGGGTCTGGTCAGGAACATGCTGGCTGTCTGCTGCTCACCTCTGAGGTGGTGTTTGTGGTCAGCCTGAGTGAGGACACGCAGCAGCAGGCTTTCCCCATCACTGAGGTAACTGTTCTTGTGGCCTTGGCCGCTGTCAAAGTGTCCCACACATCAGTAACAAAAGCTCCTGTAACAGTCTAGTGTGGTTCTTGCTGAGCCTCCTGTTCTCTGCAGGTGGAGTGTCAGCAGAAGGAAGGACAGCAGGGCCAGCTCACCCTCACCTTGCAGCAGCAGACAGTAGCCAGTGAGACAGAGGTGAGACTCTGAAAGTCATGGAGCTTTAATATTGATTTGGAACTCAAATAGGAGTTGTAGAGTGTCTACTTTATACACATTGCTCCCACAGTATATTAATGTGCCACTTTACAATTCTCCTTTAACTCAGTGGATATGGCACTATAACGTTTAAGTAGCTAGAATCAATCTCCTTTTTTCCTGCTCTGACTTGTTGTACCTCCAGATCAAAATATAAAGACATGTCATCTCAGCCAGGGTCAGTCCAACCCTTCAGACATTTGTCAGTATGACATGAGCTTCCTTCTCCTCTCAGTAGCAGTGTGGCATTGAAAATTGTTCAGTACAGAGCTTTTCACCAAATTCTCTGCTCGAAGCTCAAATCAGCCAGTGTCTGCACAACACTGGACACCTGCACCAGAGTTGATATGAAACAGTAACCATCTGTGCTCTTCCTCAGGGTGACGGTGCTCGTGAGCGTCTGTCCGAGCAGCAGTATCGGCGCCTGGTAGATTATGTGATGAGGGCCTCACAGTTTCTTTCGCCTTCCACTGCCTCTCTTCAGCTGCAGCCACCAGTGACTCTCGCCGAGCCACCGCCCTCTGTCACCAAGTCTTACTGTTACCTGGTGGATCCCACCTTTGCCAAAGTGTTTGTCAGCAAGTTCATCATGGTAAAGAACAAAGCCTTGCGCATCGGCTTCCACTGACACACAGTAGTAGCTTTTGGCTTTGTGCTACAAAAATAAGACTCTAGTTTGGCTCTGGAAAAAAATACTTTTTATGCAAAACATACCTGTTGAAGTAAAATAATTTCTTTGTATTTAAATGTCAGAATTGATTTTGAAATATCTTTTTTAATCAAAGAAATAGACTTTTCTTATAACTAGGACATTTTAATGTAACCAAGACAAACAGGACTTTTCAAACTAAAGCTTCTTGGACCAACAGTGCATTCTCTTTCAACTTAAAATCAGGGTTCATTCATGCAGCGTGAAACCTGCTCAGTGGTGCAGACAAGTGCACTAGCGGGAGATCTGTTTCATTCCTGTCAAAACAGTCTGCAACGTAAGCTCTAGGTGTTTACATTCTACACACAGTGACTATGTCCTGTGCTGGTGTATACATGTTGGTGGATGCTAGACGTGTCAACCAAAATGTTGTATAGATGTAACATACTTGTTTGACATTAACACTACTGTCTGTGATCTTACACGGAGCTCTGTGTAAAACCTAATGTATGTAAGTTAAATATTAAGAGAAGTGTTTTAACATTATATAAAGCATTTTTTGATCATTTGTGCACTACTATCAAATAAATCTAGTCGCAGTAAAAGCCTCAACCATCTACCTCATCTGTCGCAGCTGAGCTGCATGAAGTCGGTTCTTACACTGGTTTCATTCCATGTCACAGCCTCTTGCACCTCCTGCAGTCCAACACGCGTTTTGGAGGTAGACTGTTGAGTCATACTGCTGGAAAAGCACAGTTCACTTACTGTTATATCTGTTAGACTGTTTACTTTCATCTGTAGCTGAGCTTGCTGCCCGCTGACCCGACGCTGTAGTCAGAGGAGTCTGCATGAGAGAGAGGGAGCAGGTGTTAAACACCTACTGTACGGTCCCTGAAGTCATGAGAAAGGTTCTTTTATGCATTACAGAAAATGTCAAAGTGGAGGAGGGAGCATCGACCAGTATGGAACTGCTTTCTCCTTCTCCACAGTGGTTACACATGTATTTTCAGGCCTTTACGCTAAGCTTGCCTCCACCTCACAGGGATCGGTGATAGTCTCCATCTGGTTCCTAACTGTATTTCTCCTCTCTACCAACTCATTAAAATACAATTTGCACTATGCTTCATTTCCATTTGCTCTCATTCATCATGGGCTGGAACCAACTCCTGCGTGAGAAGCATACTTCATTTACACGTCCACGTAGACTGGACTCAGACTAACAGAACATTGACACTTAATGGAGAGGCTGAAGTGGCTATTTTGGCTGAAGGTCTACATAATGACACAGCTCTGACAGATGAAGGGGCAGTTTGTCAGGGCTTTCGCTTCCAGGTGATATCAGAGCCTTGGAAATAGATCTCAATTTGTATGGTGGGAATGGCTACATGTCATTTCCATGTTACGCTTTCCGGCATTTACTCCGATTGGTAGCAGTAATAAAAAAGCGTTAGATAAGGGAGTTTCACTGATCCCTAGAGTAGAGAGAAGGAATAGGCATGAGTCTACCTGAGGCTGTGGAGAATGAGGCTTCCAACTGACTCTGCCTTTTCAGCAGCAGCTCCTCTCTCTTCAGAGCTGCCATGTACTTGGAGTAGGACCATGACAGCTGAGGGGAAATGTCCAGAAATCAAGTCAGATGGAAACATGATTAGAAAAATGGTTTGTTACAGTGCTACATTTCACCTTCTCCATGGGTGGAACCAATGAAGCCTTGTTGGACTTTATGCTGTAATTGAGTGTTTTTTTGTTTTGTTTTTATTTTAATACAATGTGCTTTAAGATAGCTGTCAGATGAAACGATTTCATTTGGTTTGGTGGCCTGCCTATGATGCATTTTACACTAACATCATCTGCTCTGCCTTCCCGACGTTTCCCTGTTAGGAACTTTGGAGTTATCCTTACCGGCTTAGTGGGAGTCTGCAGCACTGTGCTCTGTGTCCTCAACTGCTTTGCTTCGCTTCTTTCTTCTACATGAGCCACATCGCCTGTGTCCTCCTCTCTTACACTGGATTCTTGTGTCTCTAGTTCTTCCTGTACAAAAGAGATTTGTTTCTGCTACAGATTTTAATTTTGAAACTGTATGAAAACATTAATTTCCTTCGTTTCCTCACTTTGGCTCTCCTCCTCTCTTCCTCTTTCCTCCTGTGTCTTCGCACTTCGGCTCTGTGCTCAGCTCGTTTCTCCTGCAGTAGAGGGAGAAGTCGTTCCTCTTGGACACTGTTGCTGAGCTCTTGAAACTCAGGCCAAAACTTCAGTAATTCATTGAATACTGACTGCTACATGAAAAGAAAAAAAGCAGATGCATAAAGCACATAACTGCAACAAAGAGAGCGCAAACCATACTCTTGGCCACACAAACAACCTGCGCTTCTCTGAAGATGTAAGGGCCAAGCTCATGGCGTTTCTCCAGAATGTACTGGGCCTGTTCAGGAGGGATGTCGATCTGCAGGGTGGGCGGCGTGGATGAGTTGATGAAACACCTGATTATAGTGGAGACCTTCTGCTGGATGGTGGCCTCGTCACTGTGAGAATGACAGAGGTCCTGCATACAGGAGGAAATGACAGAGGACAAAGTGAAAGGCAGAATACTGCTACTAAAATGTTTTATCAGTTCAAATTAAGAGGTGGAAAATAAAGTTACAGATACCACCGTTGCACACAGTGTTTTAGATTTAAGTTTTGAGGGAGTTTTTTTTCTTATTTCATACTAATAATAGAAGGAGCAAACCAAAAAGGAATGAAAGCAAACATGAAAAATGTCATATCAGATTCAGGCCCAAATTGTTGCAGGTACATTGCAGCTTTTTACCTTATACCTCTGGACCTCCAGCCAAAAGAGCACATCATTCTCCAGGAAGTCTCCCTTCAGGGAGATGAAATGCTGGAACTGCATACAAGTGACAGGATTGAGTAGGATCTGTCGAAACAGGAGAATCTCTCTGGACGAACTCATCCACTGGCCCCCAGCCTGCAGGACACGCGGCAGAAGACTGGTGGGTTTTCACAGATACTCCAAGTTGTCAGTTAAACTCCAAGAAAAAAGTCATTCCCCCATGGATAAATAATTAATTTTCATGTACTCATGTAAACATTATAGCTTTGCAGAGAAATACCAGTACAGTGTGCTCCTGAGCAACAGCCTTAGGTCACAGAACTGGGAATCTTCCTGCTGTTTGCCAGTGATGATATAATAGACAATCATATGTGAAAATTTCCTGTAATCATCCTACTTAAAAATGTTAAATGCTCGTGTTATATAGCGTGTTCTGCTGTGCCAAGATAAGAAGAGCTCCTTGGAGCTCAGTGACTACAGGAAGGTTTGTAATGCTTTAATCTTACTTATCCTGGATCCAGTTTGGGAAACCAACCCCCAGGACAAAATGGTGTTTGACAAAGCCAGCGCTTAAGGCCAAGTCATGAACTAAATCACACATACTTTCAAGCCAGGAAATGCCTCATTTCTCTACATCCACATCCAGCCTCCCCAGAGCATTTCTCCTTACCTTCCAGGGTTCTCTCCTCGCTCTGCGTTGACGGTAGATGTACTGTGAGAGCTGGTCTGCTGCTCGGGCTTGGGGCTGCCACACACAGGTCAAAAGTCAGAAACTGAGTAGACTAGCATTAACAGGGACACTGAACACCTCTCAGATCTCCCTGACGCTCTCCGTCACTGTCAGTAACTTAAGCTCTGTCCCGTCTTTTACCTTCAACTTTCCCCATCTTCATTTCTTTTGGTTTTACTCCTCCAGTCTTCTGTCAGAATTTACCTTTCTGATATCTGTCTCCCACCCCTGACTTCCTCTTCACCTCCAGCTTTTCCATACTTCTACTCATCACCTTCAGACTGTAAGTCTAAACCACAACCTCTCATTACTAAATGAGAGGATCTATAGTGAGTAGTGGAATGGGTGGTGTGTCATCTCACCTGATGAGGCAACCTGAGAGAGCGCCTGGACAGTGTTTAGTGGGTTCTCACATGGCAGGCATGTGCAGCTTCTTAACTCCGTCTGCTCTCAAGTTCATTATACAGCTGGAATCAAATGCTTTAGGCCAACAGTAGCACTTACAAGTTAAAAGGTGCCTTAACTAAGATTTTACACATTTGACAAATCAAATGAAAATGGGACAGGATGTGGTGTCTCTCAGCTACACTACCCCCCTCCATGACAGTCTGTTGCCTACAGCAGAGCTGTTAATTCAGATTATGTACCCCGTGTTGTCAAACTATGCTTCACAAATTGGCCCTGCCTGCCACCTAGCCAAGGTTACAAGAGGTGTTCTTTGAACCATGACTAGTCATTTCTAACAGCGAGCCACAAGGAGCTCTCAGCAGCTAAAAGTCCAAAACAGTGCCAGCCAGACTGGACGGGTCATGGTCTTTTGCAGGAAAGAGCAAAGGGTTAACATGAGTGTGGCTTTTTGAGATGAAGAGAGTTCAATTCAGGCAAAGGACTCAGACTTGATTAAGGTGCGATGTTCTTGCTTCCGGATGCTTTGATATTTAAAGCGAACGCGTTTGTTTTGGAAACATGAACGCCCTAGCATTGTCGTGATTTTACCTTTACTTTGAAAGAAATTCAAGCTTCGTGTAATGTTAGTACTTTGTCCCACATTAGCGGAAACCAGAGTGTTCCACCGAATTGACAGATTTACTTGTTAATGCCTGCTGCATTTCGTACAGTTTGTCGCAACCAGGCATCTGTAGTTTACATCATAGCTAGGAAACGGGATGGGATGGAAGGGGCAAAGAG